GAGGGGGGGAAGGAGTTCCCAAGAGGGCTAAGAGTGTAATTGATTCCAATAATAATTCCCAAAGGTGATTAATTAATTTAAGAATTAATTAGAGGGAGGGAAGGAGAAATTCAAAATTTGAATTCTCCAAAGGAGGGAAAAGGGGCTGACCGGTCCATGAATGGGCTTGGATTGGGGATTAAATTGGAAAGTAGAGTTATTGGAAGAGAGAGGGATTGATAGGGGCGGCCACTTGATTGAGGGGTTAGTGGGATGAAGCTTCTATAATTAGAGTCTTGAATTAGGAAAGAATTTAAGGACCTTTCAAAATTTAAAATTCAAATTTAAATTAAAATAGAAACTTCCTAAATTAATCCAAAGTGGAGGGAATATTTGAATTTCAAAATTAATTTGAAATTCATATTAGGGTTTCCCGTATCCCAAAATGCTTTGAACCAAATTAGGAAAGTAATTATAGTGTAATCGGAAATTGGATCCAAGGGGATTGGTGGGCTGGTCGGCGGCTAGGAGAAGGGGAAAATTGGTCGGCGGCAAGGGGAGGGAAAACTTGGCCGGCAGCAAGGTGGGGGAATTGGCCTAGGCCTGCGGTGAGGGTGGGTTGGTTAGGGTTTGGTCGGCAGTATGGGGAGGGGCAGAGCGTGGTCAGCGGAATTTGGGGAAGATTTAGTGGTCGGTGGTTTAGGGTGGTGATGGGAGGTCTTGGCTAGGGGAAGTAAGGAAGAAGAGGAAGGGAAAAGGGAAGACAGTGAGCCAAGACACCTCATGCGGCTAGCAAGAATTGCTTTTACCCTCACCTAGGGATTTCTCCTCTCTAGAACTCACAACATTCATGAGAACAAGCATGCAGAAATTTTTTTAATAATAATCATCATACAATCATTAGGGCCCTCATATATACGTCTCAAAGCAACAAAAACACAAAGACTAAAATGCCCTCTAGGCTGCAGCACAAACTAATCCCTCATAAGGGTAAAATGGTAAAGACTAAAATATAAACAAAAGTAATACATGAAAGGCATCATAAATAAAGACTCCTAATCGTAGCTGTCGATCTACGATTCTTCCAGTGATAGACGCACCGGAATCTAATGCTGATGTCCTCATCAATAATACTATAAATAAAATGAAATAAATTATGCGCAATATTTCTAATTCTTGTTGCAAAATACAAGATGTGAGCTTTCAAGGAGTATAGACCCTCAAGTATCCATCAAGATGTTACCTTCGTTTACCATAAAAAAAAAAGCTTAAATTGAATGAAGGTCCTTACATTTCATGTTTTAAACATCAAATGCACATAATATCTAGTATCATTAATGTTTTCCCTCCCTTCCTATAGTGGTTTTAAAATAATAAAATCCTATACGCACCTTATGATGAATCCAGGGAACCAACCTACAATTTATCACCTTATATTGGTTTATTCGAATACAAAATTTTAGATATTACCTCTCCTGCTAATGATAGAGAACTTTCGATTAAGATTAATCGCTAAATAAGTATAAATGCTTAAAGTATAATTGTAGCAGATTTGGTATTAAAATTTGAAATTCACCATCTTGCACTTAAAGAAAATGGTGTACAAAAAGATGATGAGCCCGATCAAAATCTCAAGATTTGTCATCCTAGGTTTACTTATTTAGAAGAGGTAGTTGAGCCAACCAGATCGAAAGATTCTTGTCAACAATCTTGGGTTGTTTCATCCAAAAATACCTTGCAAACTAGGAGTAGGTATTTTTCTAAAGGGGTATTCAAGTTAACCGTAAACAATAAAGGCTTTTATGTCCTATCAAGTACACTAAATGATTTATTATTCAAATGCTTTTAAGACAATAGAAAATATATAGACTAATTGTAACCATAACTTAATGGTGTCATTTCACAACAAAACTACCCAGCTAGAGAGCCCCGATCATAACTATGTATTGTTATCTCATTTGGCGACAAAGCCACTAGGTCGATGACATGTGTTACATCCTTACTAGCAAGATATTATTTAACAATAAATAATAGTAATATGATTAACAAGACATTAACTATTTATTAGTTGTAGTTCTCAAATAAATCACCCTCGGCAAGCAATTGCAGAGGGTGAATGAATTTTACTTTAAGTTATTAGGGCAATAAATTTTAAATATTATTTTTTTTAATTCTTTTTGGATTTTATAGTTTAATCTGGATATGGCCTCAAAATGATTTGCATCGGAATTTTGGGGGTATTTCAATCCGATTGAGGTTCACATTCAGCATGGTTATAATCGGGATGACATTCAAGTCCCTTGAAGTATTTTGCAGTATGAGAAACTAATTTTAAAAATGAACTCCGGTTAAGGTTTTCTTTAAAAACAACTATGATCGAGGTATTTAAATATTTTTATTTGACAGTGTCAACACTTCCGATTAGCATGTAGAGGATCGAGTCTAACTGAGTTAGTTTCAATTTTCCTTGTCCGCACAAAAGCCTCAAATAGCAAGTTAAGACGTTATGTTTACTTGACAAAGCATATACCGATGATCTTTTAAAGAATAGAAGACATTTTAAATGATGTGCATTTTTGTTCAATGATATTACATGCCTTTCAATGCATGCGAGAAAGTTTGACTTACCTTTAAAATGATGTGTATGCTTTATGATGTGTTTGCACGATGCGCATACATAATTTTCAGTTGTTATTGATCGAACTAAAAGCGTAAGAGGTCCATTTTGGGTAAATTTTACATTCTGATAGCATCCGAGAAGTCTGTTTTGCCACGGATGAGGTTCAGGGAGCTTTCACACGACGTAACATATGTGATCCATCACATTTATTGTGTTCAATTGAATCAATCACAATAGTTTCTTTCTTTGGTATTTTCAAATTTCTAGATACATCATTGTGTTCCATCTTGCACATGAACAATGTATGGATAGTTTCGATCACGATCAAGATGTTTATAACTCGTTTCATGAGACGTCGCATCAAATAAGAGGTGTCAATATTTGATTCGACCTGAACCCCGACACAAACCCGACACGAAAAATTTTGGGTTCGGATCAACCTATTTGCTACAAGGGTCAGGTTCGACATTTGTTTTCTGACTCGTTTCTAAAATTGAGTTGGGTTCGGATTGATCAGAAAACCCAAAATCAACCAGAAATGACTCGGATCACCCTCCCGCGCCCATGTTCACACGAAGACCCGCGCCCGCACCTAGCCACTCCTGCACTAGCATCCATAC